GCACTAGAGGGATGTATGGCACGAAATTGTGATGGAAGATGGTCTAAATTATGGTGAATGGTTGTTTGTACGAATTTGTGATGAAAGGTGGATGGTGTGGTGATCTGATGGTAGAGGGTGGTGGATTAATTGCTGCACAAAGGTTTGTATTTATAGGGCTAGGGAAACCCACGAATTTATGAAGGAAATGAATGTGTATTTGGCACAATTCATGAAGGAAAAGGACTAGGGTTCACCAAAATCTGAAGGGAAAAGATTTGCACAATCCTAAGGGAAAAGGATTGCAGGTTCTAGAGCTTTTAGAAAGGGTCCAGGCGCCAGATTTGTAGGACAAGGGATAAAGCCTTCTAGAAAGGTTGTTTTGTGGCTGATTCCTAGAAAAACAAGGGATAAGGTTCGGCACCTTTGTAGGAGTGGATAAGGGTTTCTAGAAACCTATTTTAATGTGTCCTAATCTGAAAATAAATCCCCCATGCAGCCAGTGGCGAAGCCAGGATTTCTCGGGGGGAGGGGCGAACTTAAAAGAATGCAAGGTTAAATTTGGAGATAGTGTCTACGAATTGCTTCACGATAATTAGGTGGATAATCAATCATTCGACGTCTATGTGCAGGGTCTGCAGGAAGATTAGCCAATATTTCATCCAAATCCAACTCAGTGGCTTCACTTTGTTGTGACCTACTTGGAATATTTGAAGGAGGATTTAAGCATTGTTTCTTATAGTATCGTTCCATTACGTAACTGTAAAATGGAAAGAAATAAAAATTCTTAGACTCTTAATCCTAAAGTAGACTATACTATTACTATAGTATGTATAATAACTAATCCAACCAACCAACAATTCAATTAATCAAAAGTACTAATAACCAATAACCATATTCGTATCAATTGGGTTAAATTTGTATCAATAATTTGTATCATAGAATCATAGAAGCATATCAAAAATTTGTATCAATAATTCGTATCAATTGGGTTAAATTTCTAATTCCCAATTCGTATCAATAATTTCATCCTAAAAAATAATTTCATAATTTCTTATCAATAATCATAAAAGCATATGATTCACATCAATAATCAATAACCAATAACCATATTAATGCATTAGCATATAATTTCATACCAATTCAAGGAAATTTGTATTGAATAATTAATTAGGTTAGGGATTATACATTTAAGAATTAAAAATTTTACCTTTAGATGGTGATTGGTGGAAGGCCCTGTGCTGTGTTGATTGGTGGCTTGTTAGCTTGTAAAGGGACGTTGGCACTGGGATGTTGGGGAGCAGAAATTAAAGCTCCTGTCCTGTGTTGATTGGTGAAGAACCGCAGAAGGAACAAAAGCAAAGGGAACAGAACGGGTTGGGACTGACTAGGGTTTTGGGCGACACGCGGAAGCGGTCCCCATTTGTATTTTTTTTTTTAATTCAAACATACAAAACGGCGCCGTTTTGTATAACAATTTTTAAATTTTTTTAACCAGGCCCAAAACGACGTCGTTTTGGCCTGGTTTAAAAAAAAATAAAATAAACTGCAATCTGCAGATTGCAGATTGCCCAGAAAAACAGAGGACTTGAACCAGCAATTTCCGGCGAGGCGCGCGCGAGGGGAGTGGCGAAGAGCTGGGTCCAGTGGTGTTTCCCGGCGAGGGGAGTGGCGGCCGCCACTCCTCGCCCTCACGTGGCTTCGCCACTGCATGCAGCTAGAATTAAGTTAGGATAGGATAAGATAAGATAAGGTAAGATAAGGTTTTGGATAATGTTCCTTCTTTTGAGCTGATTTCTTATCTTCCTTGACTTGGATTTATTTCTTCCTTGATATACGTAACCTTCAAAGTTGCATGGGTAATTTATAAGTAATTGGTAAATCTACATATGATTGTTAAGGTTAAGGGGACGACGGAACCCTAGGCTTTTACAATTTGGTTTTCCAAAACTATTTTTCTTTTGTTTTCTTTACTTTGTCAATTTATTTAATTGTTTTTAATTAAATTCGTTTTTAATATTTTAGGTCATTAAATCAACCTCTTCTAAACTTTGTTTTCAAATAGTTAATTAAAAATTAGTTTAAATACAAATTATTTATCCAATCCCTACGAAAAACGACCTTGCTTGAGCTGTTTATACTACAACTACCTTGTTATCTTGCAAATATTTTTAAGTATTTTTATCCCTACTTTTACAGGTGGTAAAATCCCTATCACTTATCCCACTATCTCACTTCCTTATTGTAGATAATATTGTTTGTTAAACTACATACCAGTCTTGAAACAGATGTCTTAAATAATATTAAGATGATTCTCAAATCAAATCAGGGAAAATGTGAAATACTTGTCTCCTGCAACTGTGAGATATGCATGCGAAAATCATCCACGATCAACTAGGAAGGGTTTGGAATGCTCCTCTTCTAGAACAAGGGATTTGAAAATGGTGATGTTTTACCTGTAGTTCGAAGAAAGTCAAAATATTGTATCAGAAATTCTACATATTTGTGGGGTTCGCCTAAAGGGGGAAACAAAGAAAGAAAACAAAAGCCAAAATGCTTTTGAATTAACAAATTCAAAAGTTATTTATCTAGAAGGATTACGTGTTCTTATTAGAAAGAAATAAAATATCCTCAATTGTGATTAAGAAACCCTAATGTGGGCTCTGCATGTTTGAAAACTAGCCACACGCGGTGGCTTTTTCTCCCTGCCTTGCCCCTTGGCTTATGAGTCAATAGATGTCATTGCCTCTTCAATTATGCAACTTCATCACCTACTCCAAGAAAATCAACTCTCAAATTTTCAATCATCTCACCAATGAATGCATGTCATATCAAATTTGTGTCGTTTTTTGCCAAGGAACAATTTGTAAACCAATTGAATAACGAATAAAATGATCAAAATATTTTATTTTTAACAAACGATAGAATAATTACAGATTCCGTTCATCTATTAATAAAAGGAACGAGAACAGATAGCAAATGAGTGTTCAATTCATAACTTTTCATGCATTTACTTGCCGTAAGAAATTAAAATTCTTAATGGTATATCTAAAACCCGTAATGAAATATCCCAAACTTAGGAATTGGATCAACTAGACGAGGGGTTTTAGGTTCGATTGTCGTATATTCCAAATTTAGGTATGTATCTCTAAATACCACGTGTTACACGGTCTAGTAGTTTTTTTCTTTACTTGTAAGTGAGATATCTTAATTAGGTTCGATTGTCGCTAAATGCAAATTTAAATCATATTATTGTTAGCCTATTGTGAGGCTAAACACACTTAATTTCTTATAATGTAGATAATAACGTTTGTAAAAAAAAAAAATAGCGTGTGTTATGAATATTCATATTTGTCTCTTTAATTAGTTGACTTGCCATGAAAATCATTTGGAAAGATGGCTGGCTGATTGGACTGTAGTTCAATTTCAACGTGATTTCATTATCAGTGACAAAACCAAAAGACAAGATATGTTTGGGAAAGGAAGGAGAATGCAACATCATCATCATCATACTTTTGTTTAATCATCTTGTTCTGAATAAAACCATATTTCTTGGTGCCGGCAAAGTTTGTTGCAAGACGTTTTTCGAAAGAAAAGGGCAGAAAAGAGAAGATTTCAGGGAAACAAAAAGAAAAATAAAATATAGAAAAAAGATTCCTGGAAGCCTGGATTTTTTTTCTTTTAGTAGGCATATGAACATATTAAAATCTTCCATTTTTCTCGTATATACTGACAAGTGTAGTTCCCCTCTATAATAAAACAGAAGAAAAAACAAAAACAAAAAAATTGAGTATAGACAACTCTTTCGTATGTAGGAGACCTCTCATTCAAATGTATCAAATTTCGTATGCATGGGAACTGTCATAAACAAGAATTAATGTACACGTCAAAAGACTAAAACCAATACATAATCCAACGTCAAGTTTTAATGTAATTTCAATCTTTTTCGACATTAAGGACCAAGGTTCAAAAACCCATATATTTAAACGCACATATATAGTGGCCACTTAATACTACGGTCTTATGTTTGATTCTCGACAAGACGAATTGCTAGTACATTGTGTGGCTAACCCCATCACCTCATTTTCAGTGTAGATGTTATTGTTTGTCAAAAAAAAAATTAAAAAAAATACATCATCTCCACCTCTTTTTCTTTCTTTTCTTATTCATCTTTTCGCTTTCTTTCCTTTTTTTATTTTTTTTTTATTTTTGGAAACTCTTTCTTTCCTTTTTTTCAAGTTAGTAGATCCCATCTGATTTAAAGCCCATTTGAAATGCTTGGAGGATTTGCAAAGACATTCATGTCTTCCATTACTAGAATTTGTCCAGTGTGAACCCACCAACCGACAATGTCACGCTCGATTTCATAATTAAACAATGACCCCTATCACCAACCTTACAAGTTACCAAATACATGCCAAAAGCCAAACTAACCATACACCAATTTTATCACTTTTAACTTTACTAATACTCGTAAATGTGAATTAAGTCTGTTTATTTTAATTTAACTAAAGATAATACTCACAGAATACTTGTAAATATGGATTATATCAATTAATTAACTTACCCAATACTCATAGTTATAAGTTTAAGTCAATTAATTAGTACAGTGTGCTCGCACAACTCCCGCTATTTGGATTTCAATACAAAATTGTATCTTGTAAAACAGGGACATAGGTAATACTCCAAAGCAGTTAAAACAACCCATCACTCAAAATACTTAGGTACCAAAATCGAAATGTTATCATTTAACAAAGATTGAGATCTCTTTCAATATTAAAAAGATAAATATCTGCAAATCAAGAACTAATTGTTTTTTTTTGGAATCTGAGTTACAACATAGAAAACCCAAAATTCTCATTTTTCATCAACCAAAGAAAAAAAATGAAAACTAATGAAAATGATTTGAAAACTTTGAGTTTTAACGATAAAGACAAAATAAAGGATAAAGTGAATAGTATCAGGATTGACTTTTTAGTGTAAAAATATGATTTTTCTTTAAAATGAACCCTACCATAAGCTTTTCGTTAAAATTCTCAAGAAAGAAAGAAAAAAACTATACAAGATCATCTCATTTGTCACTCAATTCTCAATTTTCTTTTATCCAACAATATCGTGTATTTACACATTTTACAAACTCCGTAGTAGAATCTTAGGCACTACATTCACGACAAAAGTTGGATTCTTCTGTTTCACCGACGACCACGACGGCGAGGTCCACTCCACCTTTCGCACCAAAATCGAGAGTTCGATTCTCATACTCTTCTTCTCAATTTTTCTTTTCTTTGAAGTAAAAAGAAAGTAAAAGACCTTTGAATTAGTAGTGCTACAATTCAAAGCCAAGATTAGTGTGAGAATAATCACCGTAAAAATCAGGGATCCCAGTAGCGGCCCAAAGCCTCTCATTGAAATCGCCCTGCATATCCTCCGATATGAACGGCGTACGACACAGCGGGCACGTCTTCTGGTCGTACCCGACCCACCGGTCCACGCACCCTTTGTGGAAGACGTGACGACAATTCGTGAGCCGTCGTATCTCGTCCTCGCCCTCGAACTCGTACAGGCACACGGCGCACGACTCCGGCGGGTCCACCAGGTCCGAGAACTTCGCCAGCGGCAGGATTTCCCGGATCAGAACCGCGGAGACGGAGTAGAACTCCGGGAATCTGGCCGGCGGGTCGGACCAGGCATTGTCCTGTTCGATGAAATATTGGAGACCCAGCAGGGAGACGAAGGCGGAGATGAGTTTTTGGATTAGACCCAGCAGAGAGAGTGTTTGGATGAAGAGCTTTGGGAGCAGAAGCTGTGTGTACCCAACTGGGAACCCCATTAAAAAGCTTCGAGCTTTGAGGTTTTGGGTTGTGAGTCGGTTATGGAGTTTGGAGATTTGAAATGGGTTTTTGTTTAGTTTCTATGTGTTTTCTAGAGAGAGAGAGGGAGGGAGGGAGGGGAAGAGCTAGAGAGAGAGAGAGAGAGGGAGGGAGGGAGGGGAAGAGTGAGAGAGAGGATATGGAGAGTGGAGGAGGATGGCTTATATGGCCATGAATGAGGATTGAGAGAGTTGACGATGTGGATAATGGCACCCTTCAACTTTGTCGAAATAACACACTACCAAAGTGTATTGTATTCACATTGATAAGGGCCTGTTTTGTACGTATAGTATACGTTAAAATAGATTTTTGGCCTTTTATTTTCTATTTTCACCCAGTGGCGAAGCCAGGATTTCTCGGGGGGAGGGGCGAACTTAAAAGAGTGCAAGGTTAAAAAAAAATGGCAACAACTAAATCTTTTTATATAGTAATGTCTTCCATAATTAATCAATACAAACAAATTACAATTGTTGCCGGCGAGGTTTTATGTCATGAAAACGTCGCATAATAGGCTCATTATCAATAAAAGCAAATACATCTTTCTCAATGTAAACAAGCATGCTATCACTCAACCATTGATCTCCCATTTTGTTACGCAATGGTGTTTTCACAATCTTCATAGCAGAAGCTCTCTCCACCGAAGCGGTTGCAACCGGTAACACCAAAGCCAATGTAAGAAGTTTATACACTAACACCGAAGCGGTTGCTTCACGATAATTAGGTGGATAATCAAGCATTCGACGTCTATGTGCAGGGTCTGCAGGAAGATTAGCCAATATTTCATCCAACTCAGTGGCCTCACTTTGTTGTGACCTACTTGGAATATTTGAAGGAGGACTTCTTGGAATATTTGAAGGAGGAGGAGGACTACTCGGAATATTTGAAGGAGGAGGACTACCCAAAATGTTTGAAGGAGGATTTAAGCATTGTTTCTTATAGTATCGTTCCATTACGTAACTGTAAAATGAAAAGAAATAAAAATTCTTAGACTCTATGAATACAACTAAGCAATTCAACTAATCATATTCATATGAATACAACTAAGTAATTTAACTAATCATATTCATATGAATACAACTAAGCAATTCAACTAATCATCCATCAAGATTCAAAGAATTCAAATTTTAATTTTCATCCTAAAAAATAATTTTATAATTTCATTCAAAATGTGGCTTATTACCAACAATTCGTATCAATAATTTATCTATATGTACAATTTATACATACACTGTTACACATGATTCTTCTAATTCCCAACAATTTATCTATATGTACAATTATATGTACAATTATACATACACATGATTCTTCTAATTCCCAACAATTCGTATCAATAATTTCACCCTAAAAAATAATTTCACCCTAAAAAATAATTTCATAATTTGTATTAAATAACCATGACATGAATAATCAATAACTTATAACCATATCATTTTATTCACATAATTAAGGTAGGGATTATGCATTTAAGAAATAAAAAATTTACCTTTAAATAGTGATTGGAGCTGGCTCAATCTCAGAGGAGAGGAGAGTGGCTCACTGGCTTATGGAACAGAAATTAAAGAGGACTTTGTGGCTTTGGCTTGGCTGCTGGAGTTTGAGGAGCAAATTTGGCTGAGATGGATATGGTGGTCCGCTGTGTGTGTTGATAATTGATGAAGAAGAAGACAGAAGAAAATGATAGAAAAGAGTAAAGGCAGTGTGGATGGGGTGTGTGTGTGGGGCAGGGGGGGGTACAGACAGAAAAATTAAATCTAGGGTTTCATTGGGGTGACACGCGGAAGCGGTCCCCCACCCCATTATAATATTTTTTTTTTAAATTCAACATCAAAACGGTGCCGTTTTGATTTAGTTTTTTAAATTTTTTTATACCAGGTCCAAAACAGCGTCGTTTTGACCTGGTTTTAAAAAAAAAAAAATTATAATGCAATCTGCAGTGCAGATTGCCCAGAAAACCCAGAAAAACAGAGGACTCTGCCTCTGCTGCGTGAACCATTCTTTTCCGGCGAGGCGCGCGAGGGGAGTGGCGAAGACCCGGGGTCCAGTGGTATTTCCCGGCGAGGGGAGTGGCGGCCGCCACTCCTCGCTCCCACGTGGCTTCGCCACTGTTTTCACCTCTATTTAATTAATCAATTTCTCATTACGGTGAAAAAAATGGTACTGGAGTTGTTTACATGAGATGAAGAAATATGAAAACTAAAACATTTGAGGTTTATATAACATACTAGTATTTTCACACGTACATGCGAGAAACCTATTTTTAGTAAATAATTCCCAAGAAATTCTTTTTCTTTTTGATCCCAAGGAATCCTATTTAGAAATATAACTTCATTAAGAAAAAATAAGTCAATAAATTATATTCTTTTAGCTACACCTCAATTAAGTAATAACCTTCTTAAAGATAGAAAATTTGTAACGCCCCGGTCCCGAAATATTTACTTTATTTCGAGAAATAATAAATTTAGTGATAGGCCCAAACTAAACTCTCGTTTCATTTGCTACTATTTCTATTATCTTACTTCTAAATCTCCAACAATTTAATTCTTATAAAATTAACCATGTTTTTAATTGCCATAACAATCAATTAAGATAACAACTTTGTTAATGCACAAAACTGGAGGGGTCTTGGAACAACGTAAATCCGACCGCGAATCTGCAAGAAAGTAAAGAACGCAAGATGTATCGTGGTTCACCCCAATGTTTGGGCTAAGTCCACACTGATGTTGATTGTATTTCTCTCTAACTGTATGTATGGATTACAAGGGTGAAGGGGAGTCCCTTAGAGAAAGAGAGGGTTTGAGAGAGCTTCTCTGTGAGGATGAGAGCTCTGTTTAGGGGATGTGAGGCTTGAGGTTTGTGAAGGTGAGGAGGCCATTTTATAGAATAAGGGCTCCTCACTTATTACATATTTGCCCCTCCATTTATTACATAATTACATTTGAGTCTCCCGAGTATTTATACGAGATCTAAATACGGAGGCCCAAAGTATGGTATAAACAGTAGTTCGCCAAGTCTTCAGTCAAGAGAGTGTTTTGGCTGGAGACTTGAAATTTAGTCCATATGTTGGCCAAAGTAAGTAAATGTCGTCTAGAACTGATACTCGATATAAGGCGGTGCTCAAATGTGAAATGATGCTCAACTAAAAGTAGCACATGTTGCGAGGCTGCTCGGATTGTGGCTTATGTTGCCTTGGTTGGCTCGGCTTGTGGTATTGAAGGTGAATGAGTCCCTTTTATAGAATAAGGGCTCGCTCCTCAATACAGAAGTGATGGGTTAGGAGTGATGCTCGCGGCAAGGCGGTTGCTCAGCTGGCGACGATGCTCTCTAATGATGGTGAAGGAGTCCCTTTTATAGAATAAGGGCTCGCTCCTCAATACATAAGTGATGGGTTAGAGTTGATGCTCGCGGCGAGACGGTTGCTCAATAGGCGGCGATGCTCTCTAATGATGGTAAGGGAGTCCCTTTTATAAAATAAGGGTTCGCTCCTCAATACATAAATGATGGGTTAGAATTGATGCTCGGGCGAGGCAGTTGCTCAGTAGGCGGCGATACTCTCTAATGATGGTGAGGGAGTCCCTTTTATAAAATAAGGGCCCGCTCCTCAATACATAAATGATGGGCTAAGAGTGATGCTCGCGGCGAGGCGGTTGCTCAATAGGCGACGATGCTCTCTAATGATGGTGAGGGAGTCCCTTTTATAGAATAAGGGCTCACTCCTCAATACATGAATAATGGGTGCTCTCTAATGAAAGTGAGGGAGTCTATTTTATAGAATAAGGGTTCACTCCTCAAAACATAAATAATGGGCTAAGTCCCCCAAGTATTTTTCATGAGGCCCAGTTGCGGAAGCCCAATATATGATACATAGTGTAGTCCCCCAAGTCTTTAGTCAATAAAGGCTGTTGGCTGGAGACTTCAAATTCAATCCATGTATGGGCTAAAGTGGGGGTTGTTCGGAGACGGTCTTTGTATACCATGCACTGAAGTTTTGTAGGTGAAGCTTTGAAAGTGAAGTTTTGAAGCTGGAGCTTTTGTAAATGAAGCTTTGAAATCGGAGCTTTCGTAAATGAAGCTTTTGAAGCTGGAGCTCTTGTTAATGAAGCTTTTGAAGTTGGAGCTCTATAAATGAAGCTTTCAAAGCTGATTGACATGAGTAATGCTCATGAATGTTTATGTTGATGGACATGAGTGATGCTCATGGATGTTGACATAAGTGATGCTCATGCATGTTGACATGAATGATGGTAATGAATTTTATGTATGATTGACATGAGTGATGCTCATGAATGTTTATGTATGATTGACATGAGTGATGCTCATGTATAATTTTGGAGTACTGGACGTACTTTTGATTACCTAGTGGGTGATAATAGCGACAGGCTGTCGAATAATTTTAGAGTAATGGGCGTACTTTTGATCACCTGATTGGTGATAATAGCGGCATGCTGCTGAATAATTTTGGAGTACTGGACGTACTTTTGATCACCTGGTTAGTGATAATAGCGGCAGGGTGCCGAATAATTTTGGAGTACTGGACATAATTTTGATCACCTGGTTGGTGATAATAGCGGCAAGCTGCCAAATAATTTTAAAGCCATAGGGTCTAGCTCTTTTGGGCATATGGGCCTTCGCCCTCCACATAACACTCCAGCCCATTATTTTGGGTTTGTCGTTTTTTTTTTTGGGCATGCTGCCTTCTTTCTTTATTTATGATTACCCTCTGTTGGGGTTATACATATGTCTCCAAAAGATAAGCAAAGTAAATGACATCATTCAAAAAAAGGTTTCGAAAGTTGCAGATCGTTGGTGCGTACTGGGTTGTTGCAAATCTTTTTCCATGTGCGTATTCCAGTGGCTTCTTCAGAAAAGTTGGAACATGCATGACGAAAGTTTTCTTTTTCAAAAGTTGATGGCATCTTTGCTTGCCTTTACCGCACCCAATTGTTCAAAACCTCCCTTTATTCCTTGCTTTTGCATGTTGGTGGTCGACAACGCGCTCCTCATCAGTACCTCAAACACCAACTTAACATCTTAAATACTTTGGAGTATTCAGTGGTTGTGGTGGGGTTCTATCTTCAAAATCCACAGCTCCATCTCCCTTCCTATCAACCCTTTTAATCATCTTCCGATACTCTTTC